GGGAGTGCGGGCCCCGCGGGGCGGCCATGGAGTAAGGCGGCGCGCGGACTCGCGCTGGGACGGACCGACTGACTGACCGACGGGCGGCCCCGGGCTGGGCGTGCTGGAAGATGAACAGAGCAGGTAGGAGGCTCCGCTCGACCTCTGGCGCCGCGGGACGCGCGCGAGGGGACCGCGCCAGGCGCTCCAAGTTGGAGCCCACGGGGCGCCTGGAGCGAGCCGCCGAAAAATGCCCCGACCTTCCCACTCTGCTCGGCTGCGGCCGAGATATGGGCGGGTCCGGAGCCCCCCGGCCGAGGAGGCTTGAGACTCATCGGGGGGCCCCTTGTCCGAGACGCCCCGCCTGGAGGACGCCCCCTCAGTCTCGGCGAGGCCGCACCCTGGCCGCGTATGCCCTCCGCCGCTCCCACCGCGACCCCAGTGTGGGGCACCGCTCGGCAACCGAGAAACGTTCCTTTCGCGAAGGCAACTTGGTCGCGCTCCTGAATCCTCACTCCGGCTCCTCGGGGTTCCCGCCAGGCCCTCGTTGGCCTCTCAGAGGCCCCTCCTGGGCCCCAGGGTCCTTCCGGAACTCTTCCCCACCCCGGGGTCTATTACCGGCCCCTCCGTACCCGGCGGCGCACTCTTAAGACGATTCCTGCTCCCTCCTCTCTCTCCTAGACACCGAGACTTTGGAGCTCACTCCCTGGAGGAGACTAGAAAGCCCTAAATTGGGGCGCCTGGGTGGCTCAGTCGTTAAGCGTCTGCCTTCGGCTCAGGTCATGATCCCTGGGTCCTGGGATGGAGCCCCTCATCGGGCTCCCTGCTCCGCGGGAAGCCTGCTTCTGCCTCTCCCACTCCCCCCTGCTTGTGTTCCCTCTCTCACTCTCTCGCTATGTCTCTGTCAAATAAATAAAATCTTAAAAAAAAAAAGCCCTAAATTATCCGCCCCCCCCCCCCCCCCGCAGCGCACCCCTCCCTCGCAGGGCCCTGGCCCGGGGCCCTCTTTGTGCCTCCCCCAGGGGATGAAACGCCAAGGGGGACACTCCTCGGCGAGGCTGAGCCGCACTCCAGACGTTCCCTCCCATCCCTCGAGTCTCTGCCTCGTGAATCTGACTCTGCCAGTTCAGGGATTCCGGGAAATCCAGAATGCGTTTGATAGCGAATACTAGCAGTCCCTTCAGAGGAGTGCCATTTAACAGATTTAGTAACTGAGACTCAGATGGGCGATGCCTGGAACCGTTCTCAGGATTCCTGACTCCATCCACCCCAAGGGCAGAAAGTTCCCTCGGAGAGGCGAGTTTGCAAAGCAAGGGGCTCAGCTAACTTAATTTCCCTGCCAAGGAGCGATAGTCCCTCTTTTTTTTTCTTTTCTTTTAAAATTGAGCAGAAGGCAGCCCCCTCCTGGACCAACACCCTTGTCCGAAGCCATACTCCAAAACACACATCCCTAAAGAAACAGGAAGCCACCATTTTGGCTGTCTTAGAACCATATCCTGCTGCCTTGTGTGTGTGTGTGTGTTGTGGGCTTTTTCTTTTTTAAGTCTTTTTAATGAAAAAAGTCATTGTCTTAGGAGTGAAGTGCAGACGGGAGACATTTGGCTGGACTGATTTGACAAAGGAGACACTCGGGGACTTTGGGAGTGTGGAAGCAGCCTTCCTGTGTCCAGGCCCTGTTGTTGCTGGGCATGTGGACGCCTGGATGGTGAGAGAGTGTGGGTCACAGCAGGGGTGCCACTTTGGGAGAGGCTGGAGCAGGGTCCCAGTGCCCAGCCAGCCACTCCTTGGAGGAAGAAGGTTGCCTCCTGCCTGTTTCTGGCACAGCCTGAACACAGCCGGGCTAGCTTTTTCCTACACTCCTAATAAAACTCACTTAAAACAATGGTGAGAGCGGTTCCAGTTTTCCCACGTTTCCCTGCTTGAGGCTTAGGCAAGCCCTCCCTTTTCTGAGAATCTGGGGGATGGAATGAGCCGGAATAAACTGAGAGGCAGGTTTGGTCCCAGGAAATCTTAGCAGTTGCTACTCTTGGGTTTAGCCGTCCTGTAACTTGCCTCCAGCATAAAACTGGTTACTTTTTCAGTGTGCTGGCAGTGATGGGAAGCTCACATAATGATTTCTGTGTGCCATGCTCTGAATTTCCTGATCATGTAACATAGTGGCTCACAGACTCCATGGGACTGAATTTCAGAACCACTGTATACTTAGTTATGTGACGTTGAGGCGGTTACTTCACCTCTGTGCCTCAGTTTCTTCATCTGAAAAATGGGGATAGTATGATCTTTGTCATTGAGTTCTCATGATTAAATAAAGCTTATAAGGTGTCTGGAATAATGTTTGTCATAAGCTACCAATGAATACTGGCTAATATTTATTGGTCACTTACTGTGAACTAGGTGCTGCTTTTAAGTGTTTTACTTCAATCAATTCAGTTTTCACAGTAAACTTACAAGGTAAGTACTCTTGCTATCCCTATGGGAAAACTGAGCTGCAGGGATCTTATGGTCACTGAGCCAAGATGGGATTGAAACACACACTGTCCAGCTTGAGAGCCTGCTTTTTTATCCAGTGCTAAATACATAGTAAGTGCCCAAGAAATTATAGCCAACTGACTGTTAGGTGTCTTATGTTTGTTATTTCCTTTGAACTTTTCAACATCCTTATAGAAAAAGGAGGTATTTATTTCATTTTACCAAGAAAGAAACAGGCTTAGAGAGGCAAAGTGTCATGCCCAGGATGACACAGATGATGTGTGCCAGAGCTGGGATTGGAGCTCAGGTCTGTCTGAGCCTGGGGCCCATGCTTTTCCCACTTTGTCCCTGTGGTCTTCCCAGTATGTGCCCTGTCGTGGATCACTGGACTAGCTTAACAGCAGCCTAATTAGAAATCATCAGGCTTGGCTTGGACATTCCAGCAGGCACCCAGGAATGAAAGTTAAATTAAGATGCAATTGGAAGGTGAAATTGGAAGATAATTACTCTTGGAACATATGGCTATGAGAGTTCCAGGGGGAATATAGTGAACTGCCGTTGAAACAGACTCAGGGACTGAACAAGGGGATATCAGGGGACACGAGAAGAGCCATGAGTTTTAATATGCTATAGTCGGCCGGAGCAGAAGGCACTTACTAACTGGTTGGTGCAGCACCCCTGCTCTACAGATGGAGAAACTGAGGCTCAGTGAGGGGAAGGGACTTGCCCAAGGTCACATGTCCAATTAATGGCAGAGCCAGGAGTGGAGATCAGAGCTCCTAACTCCTAGTCCAGTGCTCCTCCCAATGCCCCTTCTCATTTAACCTCTGCATAACTGACAAGGAAACAGCAGCATGTGTGGGTGTCAGTGACAGATGCTTAATTGAAATAGAGAAAATATAAACTAGTAATGGGGCCTGGCTGGGAATGATTTCTGTCACCAGAAGCTGTTAAAAATCTCTTCCTCCTGTCATTGTGGTTCCCCCATTGTCAGTTAACTCTTGGCATCTTGGCTCAAAGGGTATTCTGCATTTGAGTTATCCTTACGCATAGCAAATTGCCAAGAGGTCCTGGGCAGAGAGGTATGACCCCCCTCCACCCCCCCGGGCTCTGTGATACTGGGAGAAGGAAGGTTCATACCACAGCCAGAGGAACTCATGAGACAGCAGAGGGTCCACCAGCTCCACCCATGCTGGGTTCTGGATAGTCAGAAAGTTGAGCTTAACCCAGAGGAGGAAGCCCCAGCCCGGATTTATCCTGTAATCCCCCATCCCTGCCATACTGAACTCTTTACCGTACTCCCAGATGGCTTGCATCTAACTGCCTTTGGGCCTCTGCACATTCTATTCCCTCTGTCTGGCATACCCAGCCTCTTTTTTGATCAGGAAAATCCTCCTCGTCCTTCCACATGCACCCCAATGCTATCTCTTCCCATGGGTCTTCTCTAGGCAGAATTGGTCTGGGACCCAAATAAACTTGTACTGAGGAGAGGGGCTCTATGGGGCTCCTTTTTGTGAGGGGAGAGGGAGGGAGCAGAGCTGAAGCTCTCACACAACCTTCATTTTCTTTCATTCCTCCCCAGTGTCTTTCCCTGACTCCTTCTCATAACCTCAGGGCCACTGGGGCTCCCTCCTGGGCCCTGCTCTTTTCTTTGTTCACACTCATTCACTTGGTGATCTCACCAGGCCCAGGCCTTAAATTCTATCTCTGTGATGGATGCCTCCAGCCAGACCTCTCCCCTGAACCCAGACTGGTATATCTGGGAGCCCACTTGATATCTGTCTCCACCTAGGTGTGTGGTAGGGAACTCAGGTTTAACACGTGCAAACTGAAATTCTGGCTTTCCCTCCCCAGCACCAATTGAATTCTTTTTCCCAGTTCCTCTGACTCAAAACCTTGGTGTTGTTCTTGACTTCTCTCCTTTTACACCCCATGTTCAGACTGTCAGCAAATCCTGCCAGCTCTGCCTTCGTATTTGGAATCTGACTCTTCTTTACCACTTCCACTACTGCCAACCTGGTCCAAGCCTCCATTCATTGTCTCATCTCTTGCCTGGATTATTGCAAGAGCCTCCTCATGGGTGTCCCTGCATCCATCCACACCACTTCTACCTATTTTCAGCACATTAGCCAGAGTATGCGTGTCCTTCTTCTGTTTGGGGGGTCCTGCATAATCTACACCCTCCCTGTGACCTCTCTGACCTCATCTCCTGCTTCTCTCTGTTGCTTGCTCGCTCATGCCTCCCTTCTAGCCGCTCTGGCCCTCCTTGAACACACCACCTGAGTCCTGGCTTCCCTCACATCTTTCTAGTTTTTGCTCTAATGTCCTCTCAGTGAAGCCTATCCTGACTTAAAATTGAAAAAAAAACAAAAAACCAAACTCCTAATCTTTTTCCATAGACTTTATGATCATCTAATGTACAATAATGTAATATGCTTTTCCTTTTTAGTGCTTATCTTCCTCTACTAGAATATAAGGTTCGCCAGGGACAAAATATTTGTTTTTGTTTATTGATTTGTCCAAAGATTCTAGGTGAGTGCCCTGCACATAGTAGGTGCTCAATAAATATCTGTTTGATGGAGTCGGATTAATGGGAATTAGATGGGAGCAAATGAAAGCCAGTCATTCACCTTATGGTCGGTTAGTATTTCTGAACCCTGGACTCAGCTTTATGTAAATTTCACACCTGGCTAGCTGTCTCTGGTCTCTCTGGTCTCAGTTTCCTTGAATTTTACCCTTCTCTGCCTCACTAGAAGCTGGGAGCCCTGAGTCTCCACTGTAGAAGAAAGCTCAAGGGCAAAAGGGTGAAGGCAGAGGTTCAAGTGACTAGACCAGGAAGCCAGAAACCCGCATTCTACATGGGCCTTGCTCCAGACTTGCTGAAAACCGTATGCCTCGCCTCTATGTGCCTCAGTTTCCTGATCTTTTCCTGAGGGGTCAGACAAAGCCTTTCTGATTCTGGCATCCTTTGATCTCAGAGAGGATGCAGGTGAAACACCCTGAATCTCAGAGCTGGAAGCAGGACATGGACACTAGATACTTGTCATTCCTAGGGGATCCTATGGGGAAGGCATTTTCTTGCAGGATCACGCCTCAGACGCCCACTGTAACCTTTCTTGAGGAGACAGCGCCCACAGATCAATAGCTTGATTGGATGAAGGATGGAGTGGGGGTGGGGGTGATGCAGCCAAGGTGACGGTCGTTTTTCATGGCCCATCTGTCCCTTTGTCAGGTCTCATGGCGCTCATGTGAAATACCACCTGTTAAGGATGAGAAATGAGAGTCCCCACCCTCAAAGAATAATTTCATGCCAGTGCCTGACACCTGATGTTGGGAGCTTGAACCTAATATTACATATCGGTGTAAAGCAAGACTTATACCAGGGGAAGATGTGGGATAGGCAAAGACTGACATTATTAGAATAATAATAGCTTCTCTTTATTGAGTACTTCTACTTGAAGACCTACTGCTGGGCACTTTTAATATATATCTTTTAATTTTCATAACCTCTTGAGAGTAGGTGTACCTATTGTACCCATTTTACAGATGAAGAAACTGAGGCTCGGTTTCATTGCTTAAAAGTGGCAAAGTCAGGATTTGAACCCAGATCAGCCAGGCTCCAAAGGCTCACTCTGTTACTCTACAATGACAGACTAGCTAATGGTTAGCTGTTTAAACTCCACATAGTTGGGTGGGTTTTTGTTGTTGTTGTTGTTGTCTTTGTGTGTGGCATTTTTTTTTATTTGTTTTGTGTTTTACTAATTTGGACAGATATTTTTCTAAATTAGGACATATTTGCTTATGGAAACAAGGAGTTGGAAGGCCACTTAGATTTTGAAGACTCTGTGTTATTATCTAGATGTCAGTGGCTGGCCTGGGTGTTAATGTGGATGAATATAGGAGTGGGTTAGGGGGTTGGGGCAGTGGGTGCTTTAGCCTTTAGAGTCTTGACAGCTGTGTCTCTTCTCTTCCTTTCTTACTGGCCACTACCACATTTTACACCTGGCAGTATTCCTGTTCTAACTGCCAATCCCTACCCCTCCTAATTAGCTGTACACTGGAAAACCTGACCACTAAGTTCATTAGATTTATTTGCAAAGTGTAACTAAAGAGGCTCTGAAATTGGGCCCTTTCAGGAACAGAACAGGGTATATGGGCACCTGTATTCTTGCTATTCCAGGCCTTTTTAATTTCCTTTGGGGCATCCTCAGCTAATTTTTACACAGTTCTGCCAGTTTAGGGGAGATACTTACTTTGGCTTCACATGTATTGAAATTGAGGTGCCAATGGAACAGTCCCATGGAGATGGGTTAAAACCAGTTAGCACTGTGCTGGCCAGCGCCGTAGCCACTACCCACATGTGGCCACTGAGTAGTTGAAATGTGGCTAATCTGAATTGTGATGTACTGAAAAGTGTAAAATACACATTAGATTTCAAGGACTTAGTACACAAAAGTATGTCAAATATTTCCTTAATAAATTTTGTATATTGATGACATGTTGATCCACACATGATTCACTGATTACATGATGATATCCAAAATGATGGTATTTTGAATATATTGAATTAAAAAAGAAGTATTGTTAAAATTAATTTCACCTGCTTCTTTTTTACTTTTTTTTTTCATTATATGTATTTTTATTTTTAAATTTACATTCAGTACAATTCACTTTTTTTTTTTTTTTGGGTATACAGTACTAAGAGCCTTGACAAATGCTTAGGGTTATGTAATCGCCAACATAATCAAGATAGGGTTCTACCAGACAAACAAGCTTCTTCATGCTGCCACTTTGGAGTCAAACCCCCTTCCTTCCCTTAGGCCCTGATGAGCACTGATTTGTTCTTTGTCCCTATGGTTTTTTCTTTTCCAGAATGTCAAATAAATGGAATCATATGATAGGTAGGCTTTTCAGTCTGGCGTCTTCCGCTTAGCCTCATATACTCTTTTTTACTTTTTTAATGTGGCTATGAGAAAATTAAAAATTACGTATGTGATATAAACATGGCTCACACTCTGTCTCTGCCAGAGAGCCCTGAACTACAGATGACTAGGATTAGGGGCTGCAAGGGTTTACCTGGGAGTCAAATGCATAGGGAGGAGAAGTTTGCTGATGGACTTCTAGGACCTCTGCTCCATCTCCCTTCTGTCATGAGCCAGGCTGGCATTCTGCAGCTGCTCTGTGTCAAACCCAGGCCTTAGTGGGAATGGCACTGGGAGGAGGGGCTGGCTCAAGGGGAGATTTGTATGTTGTCATCTATGAGCAGTGGGAAGCCAAGAAGTGCATTTGAAGCCAAGATGTCAGGATGGAGATACCTTCCTGGAAAGCTTCGTTCCTCACTCTGCCCACAGTGTAGCCAGGGGCTTGGAGGCATGGAGGCATGCTTGTTGCAGGACAGATGAACTTGGAAGTGGGCAGCTACTCCCTTGGCCCTTGCACCAGATCCCTCCCATTCTGCAAAATACAGCTGAAATTTCACCTTCTCCAGGAGGTCTTCCTAGTCATGGTATCTCTTGCTTCTCTGACTCCTGTTGCACGTGCATTTGTATCACATCCTTTATTCTGACATGTCAGATAGATCCTCCGCATCCATAAGGCAGGAGACTTTTTGCAAATATCCATGTTGGAAAATACCATATGGTTTCTCCCATGAAATCCAGGTGCCCATGAAATTTGGATGCAGGGCAGTTAGCTAGACACCAGTCTTAAAGCATGTAGAATTCAGAGGTGACCCTTAGAAGAGTCATGCATCATTGTCACAGACCTTTGGTGTATTGTCCTTGAAGGAATGAGATAATGGCTATTTAATCATAATATTCCAAGGGTCTGTGGCTCTGTCCTCCAATTGTTCTGTTAGTCTTGCCTCCCTGACTCAACTGCAAGTGCTCAAGAGAGGTATCCTTCTCTTCTTGACCCTAGAAGACCTTCCTGTCTACGGTGCTATGCATATAGATAGTAGGTATCCAATGAATTAACTGTAGAATGAATGTAAGCTCCATGAGGGTGGCAGGGATGGTGACTGTCAAGTTCAGCGTTGTCTCATGGGTACCTAGCACCTAGAAAGCATTTAATACATGGTTGTTGGATCAATGATTACAATGATCTGCACACCTTTGTTTGAGGAGTATGTCATTGAGTTGAGTTTTGTTAGCTGGACTGTGTACAAAAGGAAGATCTATTCACTTTGTTTACAGAATGAATTATCAGTAGAGGTGAAGGGATTTTAAAGATGGTGGTGGAGGACAGAAACCGAAGACAGAACATAGTAGATTGGGCTCACATAGGTTGGGAAACTATCTTCAATGTTTTCTTGAAAATGCTAAGCGGTAGACTCTGAATGGAAATAAGGGTAACTGTACTTTTTGTGTCCTTGTTTTCTCTATTTTCATCCTTTAGATTCACCAAAACCACCAGTTGCTCCCAAGCCAAAGACTGCCAGTCCCCTCACACCTGTGACAGCACCCAAATTCCCTTCATCACCCCGGCCTGATAGTCTTCACAGTCCCAACTCCATGTCTAGGGGACCGAAACCCCCCATTGCCCCTAAGCCCAGGCTGGCGACCCCCAGTGAGTGGAGAGCCAGCGTGTACATGATCAACAGCTTGAACAAATGCAGCAATGGGAAAGTGCTCTGCGTTGACAGGGGGCTTTACGGAGAGCACCGGTCCAACTTGGAGTGCTCTGAGTCTGAGGCTGATGAGGAGTACATTGTGGTCCCCAAGGCTCCGCCGAAAGAGGACGAACCCAGGTGTAGCAGCTCTGCAGAGAATGCAGTAATGGTGCCTCCAGATGCCGCTGGAGAGGAGTGCCGGGAGGGAGGCGAGGAGAGCGACCTGGAGGGGATGGGAGCTGCTGAGGACTTGGCAGCCCCAGCTGAAGTGGTGCTGGGTGAAGAGGTTGATGGAGGCATAGCCCCCACCCCTGAGAATGTGGGGGTGGAGGACGGTGCCTGTGACCCAGGGGCAGAGGAGCAGACATTTACAAGTGAGGAGGAAGAGAAGCTAGTGGAAGAACACAACGTGTACAACCTGGAGGACAGGGGCCCTTGGGATGGAGAAGCAGTCCTTCCAAGTGATATCATTCTAACTCACGTTGATTTAGAGGGTCCAGCAACTCCCAGTGATGAGCCTGGGCCCCCTGGGACACCCACGGAGGCAGAGGAGGGTGGTGAGGAAGGCTCCACCAACACAGAACCAGGGGCTCCAGATGAACGTGTGGATTCTGACAGGCCCCCTGAAGGGGATGCTGAAGATGACAGCAAGGAACCCACAGAGAATGAGGGCTTGGCCATGGGTGTTCAGGAGGCAGAGATGGCCACAGACAGCCCTGAAGTCCCAGAGGAAGGGGGTGAAGATGCCACAGCCAGTGGTGACCAGGATGACCAGGATGAACCACCTGACCAAAATGAGAAAACGGACCAAGAAGAAATGGCAGCAGTCACCCGGGAGGTGGGAGAGGACCCTCGAGAAGGTGAAGACCTGGTACAGGAAGAACCTGCCGAGGAGAGCTGCCAAATCATTCCTTTCGAGAATGATGGCATGGATGAATTTGTGACTCCACTCTCAGGAAGTCCCTACGAGTTCTTTCCGACTGAGAGCACCTCTTTCTGTAGCGAGAGCTACTCCTCTTTTTCCAAGTCAGCAAAAGACTTAGAGTCACAGCAGGAACCACAGTCTGGAGAACGTGCAGAGCAGGACCCCATTGTTGGAACTTCGTGTGGCTCTGGGGAGGGCCCCTCTGTCCCTGACGTGGTGGTCATGCCAGAGGATGAGGATGCCATAGACGATGGGCTCACCAACCCCTATGAGATGGGAGTTGACCTGGAGCAAGGGTCTGACCCTGGGGAAGGAGAGAAGCCTGAGACACAGGCTGCATCTGATGTGCTGAGTGGTTATGGCACAAAAGAAGAAATGAACTCTGATGCTGAGGGTGGCCTGGTCTCCATCGACAGGAAGAACATCATCACTAGGGCCAGGCCCCACTCCGGGAAGGTGGCTGGCTATGTCCCAGAAACTGTCCCAGAAGAAACCGGACCAGAAGCTGGCTCATCAGCCATTGGCATTAGAGGTGCCACCAAGGAGGCGAGAAAGACGGTTCTTTCGTTGGAGGGGAAACCACTGGAAGCCAGCAGGGCCTTGCCAGCAAAGCCCAGAGCCTTCACTCTATACCCCCGATCATTCTCTGTGGAAGGCCGAGAGATTCCAGTCTCCTTGTACCGGGAGTCGGAGGCATCGGGCTTGGATGACCATAGGATCAAAAGGAAAGACGACAACCTTTCTCTGCCCTGTATGATTGGCTCCTCTGGGAGTTTCTCCCAGAGGAACCACCTTCCGTCCAGCGGCACCTCAACACCCTCTTCTGTGGTCGACATCCCGCCCCCTTTTGACCTGGCCTGCATCACCAAAAAGCCCATCACAAAGAGCTCTCCCTCCCTGCTGATCGAGAGTGAGCCCCCAGACAAGTACACCAAGAAGAAGAAGTCATCCTTCAAGAGGTTCCTGGCACTGACTTTTAAAAAGAAGTCGGAGAACAAAGTGCACGTGGATGTCAACGTGTCTTCTTCCAGGTCGTCTTCAGAATCCAGCTACCATGGGCCTGCCAGGCTTCTGGAAATTGACCGCAGGAGCCTCAGCAACTCCCCGCAGCTTAAGGCTCGGACTGGCAAGCTTCGGGCTTCCGATTCCCCTTCCTCCCTCATCTTCTACAGGGATGGCAAGAGGAAAGGTGTCCCCTTCAGCAGGACGGTGTCCAGAGTGGAGTCCTTCGAAGACCGCTCCCGGCCCCCCTTTCTGCCCTTGCCCCTGACCAAGCCTCGGTCCATCTCATTCCCCAACGCCGACACTTCAGACTATGAGAACATCCCAGCCATGAACTCAGACTATGAAAATATTCAGATTCCACCCCGGAGGCCTGCGAGGGCTGGGACGTTTACAAAACTGTTTGAAGATCAGAGCAGAGCCCTGTCCACGGCAAATGAAAACGATGGCTACGTGGACATGAGCAGCTTCAATGCCTTTGAAAGCAAACAACAGAGCGCAGACCAAGAAGCAGAAAGGTACTGTGAAATTATATTTTCTTTGTGGTTGGGCAAGTGTGACCATCCGAGAGGTAAGCTTAGGTACAGGGGACAGAATGGACTTGCTTTTTAGCCTCAGGCTCTGCTTATTTCTAGCTGTGTGACTTGGGGTGTGTGGCTTTACTCTCTGAGCCCAGTTACTACATCTGTGAAATGGGATTTCTGCTGCCTCACGGCGGAGTGTTTGAAGAGATCAGAGACGATCATCTGTGTGAAAGTATTGTCTAAAACGCCAAATACAGTGTAAATATGAGCATTTGTATTTCCATTATTTGAGAGACATTTCTCATCTAGGAGGATGGGTTTGCTAGTCCTCTCCAGGAAAGTCACCAAGAGAGAAGGTCCTGGTATCCTGCCAAACTAAATATCTTTCACCATCAGGAAAATACCCTAAATTGAGATTGATACCCTTTTACTATGTAAATATACACTCTATGCAAGGGAACTAGAAAAGACAATCTATTTAAATTGTTTAAAGAGCGAAGGGTGCCGTGAGCTAAATTTCTGAATAGAAGCCTTTAAGAGGTACATCCAGGATGGGTTTTTTTTTTTTTTTTTTTGACTCATTCACCTTGGAAATACGAGTGAAACACTGAAATTATTAACAACAGCCTTGGAAATACGAGTGAAACACTGAAATTATTAACAACAGTGGGAGTTTTCTGACCCCACCTTCCCAAGACTGACTGAATACCCTTATTGATCATCCCAAGTGGATAACTGCCAAATCTTGCTGTTCCTTGTACCTTGTGGATGCAGCTTAAAGGCAATGCAGTTCAGCCTCAACCATTTACTCTCTTTGGGAGCACCTGATTGGAATTAATACAAGCGAAAATGGCAGTGATTTTAAAGGATATCCTGATTCTGACCCCTTGTGTGCAGTGACTTCACCAAGTCCCACACGCTGCTACTGCTCGGAGTTCCCAGGGCTCCTGCAGTAATGAATAGATAAGATGATTTGCAATTAGCATGAGCTGTCGCTGGAGTGTAGATGCTAGAAGTGTTTATGTGGTTTATTCTCCTGAGTTTTTTACATGGTTCCCCACCCTGGCTCCATCTTCTCCCTCCCCCAAGTCTGGGTGAGGCTGTTAATTAGTTCTTTCCAGAATGAAAGGGTTTGTTTGCTGGGGCAAGGGTAAACACTAACACTGTTGGAGGGACTGAGTTTGATCTGGAGAGTGTGGCCGTGTGTAAACTGTACAAGGTGAGAGCTGCACAGCTGACCAGTTCATTGCATTAATAGTTACCAGCAGGGTTTGACAGGATCCAGACCTAGCTGAGTGCCTCCCAGCGTTAATGAAAATAGAACCAAGCTCTGAAACCAGAATCATCTAGAAAGGATCTTTTTTTTTTTTAAAGATTTTATTTATTTATTTGACAGAGAGAGACACAGCGAGAGAGGGAACACAAGCAGGGGGAGTGGGAGAGGGAGAAGCAGGCTTCCCGCGGAGCAGGGAGCCCGATGCGGGGCTCAATCCCAGGACCCTGGGATCATGACCTGAGCTAAAGGCAGACGCTTAACGACTGAGCCACCCAGGTGCCCCAAAACAATGAGGGTTTTTTTTTTTTAATGTTTTTATTTATTCATGAGAGTCAGAGAGAGAGGCAGAGGCAGAGGCAGGCTCCCCGCCTAGCAGGGAGCCCGATGCGGAACTCGATCCCAGGACCCTGGGATCATGACCTGAGCCGAAGGCAGATGCTTAACGACTGAGCCACCCAGGCGCCCCTAGAAAGGATCTTAAAGGGCACATGGTCAAGGCTCCCACTCTAACAGGCCTTTCTCTAACCCAGTCTGTACTTGAATTCCTCAAGCCACAGGGAACTCACCATCTCCCAGAGCTGCCTCATCTGTTGCTAGGTATCCTGATTAAATTTTCCTTTCTGACTGAGGCTAAAGCTGTCTCCTAATATCCCTACCCCACTCATGCTGGCTCTCCCCCTCTCAAGCCAGGCAAGTGAGCTCATTTCCTCTTTCATATGACAGCCCTTCAGCATCGAAGTCGGCTTCTATAGAATCACTGAATTGTATAGCTGGAAGGGAACTTCAGACAACATTTGGTCCTCTTACAGAGGAGTAAACTGAGGCACAGAGAGGGAAAGGGATTTACCTAAGGTAGCTCAGCAATTTAGTGGAGGAATCAGTGCTAGGACTCAAGATTTCCTGACACCTGGTTTAGGCATCCTTAGTGAATTACACTGAGGGGTGCCAGATCTGATCGTGCACGCTGTGCACTGCACTGCTTCAGGGCCACATTCACATTCAACCCGCCTACCTCCACCCCCTGCCCCGGGGTTATACGGTGCACAGGTTGCTTGGCCATTTGCCGAGTCCCTGTTGTCTTGATCTGTACTTTGCCCAAAACCCCAAAAAGGTCCCTTCATCCAAATTAACCTGATAATAAGGGAAAAATACCCAAGAAAATGTCAATGCTACCATACCTTTCCTGCTTCCTGTATGCCAGGCATTGTGCTGGGTGCTTTCCCCGCATTTTCTCACATTTGATGCTACAGCCTGGGGCCGTGGTTGAGTATCTTGGACTGTCAGACTCAGAGCACTGTTGCTCTACCCTGATGTTCCTTCACGGAAGGCCAGACTGACCAGATAAATCTCCCATGCAGGAACCACATCCTCTTGGACATCAACAGTGAGCAAAGCTTTCTTCCGTTTTCCTGCATGAAACAGATGGAAGCAAAGGGAGGGGGAGAAATCCTCGCCTTGGGCTGAAACAGGTCTGGGCAAGGGAGGTTTCAGACACATCAAGTTGAGAGGCATGAGGGACTGCTGTGGGGGTGGGGTCCTAGTGGCTTCTCCCCCTGGACAGGAGCTTTGAGAACCTAGCGGCTGGGGTGCTGCTGATCTGAGACATGTGCCTAGGGGTGCCCAGGGTTGCTTCGGGTTGAGCAAGACAGGATGGGGCAAGAGGGCCGTTCCTCCTCCTTCCACTCCTTGTCCTGTCCCACACCTTGCTTCAGTGTGGGGATCAGGGAATAAATATCAACAGCCCTGAAAGGGTGCAGGACGGTGTATCAGGAGATGTGGGTTCAAAGCCCACTCAGTCACTGACCTGCTGTGGGATCTTGGAAAAGGCTAGGCCACAGTTTACTCATCTGTAAAATGGTAAGATTGGAGCAGATCTGTATTTCTCAACCATTTGCCTCTCCTGTACCACTTTTGCCATTTCTGTTCTACTGCCTATACTATCACTTACTTATTGTTTTTCTTTCAATCAGTCTCTCTTTTTTACTTCAAAAATATTTAGAAAGGAAATTTTGTGTCAGTGTTGGGAAATGGAAAAACACTATTGGTTGCCATAAATAGAAGGCAGTTATACAAATAAGATACAAAGGAAAGGAAAATAACGGGTAAATTCTAGCTTGAGGTTATTACTTGCCAAGGCTGGAGCTGGAAGCCTGGCCCCTTTGTTAAACAGGGAGAGGTGTTAAAGACGTCCTGGCACCATACAGAGACTTTCTTGTTGGCATAATCAGAAGGATTCAAAAGGACTGAAAAGGGAATAACTCTCTCTGGTGTGATTCACTGTTATTTAAATCCAAGCCCTTTTTCCACTTAAAAGTACCTCCCTTCAAGAAACATGTAGAGTATAAAATAGAATTCAGAGAGCCCTTAGAGACCTCTAAATCAGAGTAGCAGCTCAGGGTCTAATGGATGATTGTAAAGTTTCTTCTATGTGGTTACTTCCTTTAAGATTTATATACCCAGATAATAACATTTTAGGAGCTGCAATAATCTTACTAACAATTTTCTGTCTTGTAAAATAAAATTGTATAGATTGTTACTTATGTACATTTTCCCCATGGTATACAGAAAGTTTCATCATCTTTTAGTTTAAAGCATATCCCCAGAACATTCTTTTTTTCCCCCTTGAATTGACCCTAGTGAAAAAGAAAAAATGGACCAGAGATCTAGTCTTACATTTACTTTTCAAATAGACTGTTTAATGTCCTCAGTCAGAACTCTTGGTTGGGCGGACCTAATCTTTACTTCTGAGTATCCCATGGCCCCTCAGTATATGTTGATTATGTGCTAGGAGCTTAATAAATGTGTGTTGATGACCAGGAGTTTTATGATTCCATGCAAATTGGTAGTTTTGAGCTTCACAAGGGTCAAAGAATTATCATTTATTAAGCACCTGTCTTCAGCAATGCAATGCTAGGTGCTTTATATACACTTAATAAATACCCATTTGATGCAAAACACTACATAAACTGACTTGTCCTAAGTGTCTCATTTAAATCCCCATAATTGTGTATTTATTTTTTGCACAATGATGCGTCTGCTTTAATCACTCAGCATTATACACCAACACGGATCCCTGAGGCTGCTTTTCCCCATTTCATTATGAAAATATTCAAACTTATAGAAAAGTTGAAAGAGCTTTTACAGTGAATGTTCATTTGTCCACCATCTAGATTTACCATTTACATATTGCCACACTGGCTTTTTCTCATCTGTTTCTTTCTCTCTCTGTTCTCCCAGCTGTTATGATCAGTCCCCATATTGTTCTTGATGCATTTATGGTAGCTCTTTATGTATGCAGATGAGGGCAGTGGAGCCCAGGGAGAGCCTGTGAGAGCGCAGGGGCCAAGCACATGGGCTTTAGCCAGGCTGCCTGGGATTTGAGTCTGTACTCCAACCCTTACTATCTGTGTGACCTGGGACAAGGTCTGCGTCTTGGTTTATATGTCATAGGCAATCACAATAGTTCCTGCCTCATAACGTTGTTAAGACAGAAGGAGTTAATATTGCACATAGTGAAATGATCAGTAAATATTAGCTATTACTCAGTGATATGGTAAGGTCACTTATTGGTGGATCCAGGATTTGAATTTGATTCCAGAGGTATGGGTTGAGAATCTGGTCCCTTTGACTGTGGGGATGTCTCTCTCTATCTCTCCCTTCCTCTCTCATATGATGGTTCTTCTGCATGAGTTTGACTTCATGTTCAGGACACCACATC